TGCTGGATGGTTGTTGAATGTTTGCTGGATGGTTGCTGGAGGGTTGTTAAATGGTTGTTAGCTGATTGCCAGATGGTTGCTGAATGTTGCTGGATGGTTTCTGAATGGTTGTTGGATGGTTGCCAAATGGTTGCGGGATGGTTGTCGAATGGTTGCTGAATGGTTGCTGGATGGTTGCTGGATGATTGTTGGATGGTTGCTGGATGATTGTTGGATGGTTGCTAAATGGTTGCTGAATGATTGTTAGATGGTCACTGGATGGTTGTGGGATTGTTGCTGGATGGTTGCTGAATGGTTGTTGGATGGTTGCGGGATGGTTGCTGAATGGTTGCTGGGTGGTTGCTGGATGGTTGCTGGATGGTTGTTGGATGGTTGCTTGATGATTGCTGGATGGTTGCTGTATGGTTGTTAAATGGTTGTTAGCTGATTGCCAGATGGTTGCTGAATGTTGCTGGATGGTTGCTGAATGGTTGCTGGATGGTTGCTAGATGATTGATTGATGGTTGCTGGATGATTGTTGGATGGTTACTAAATGGTTGCTGAATGATTGTTGGATGGTCGCTGGATGGTTGTGGGATTGTTGCTGGATGGTTGCTGAATGGTTGTTGGATGGTTGTTAAATGGTTGTTGAATGGTTGCTGGATGGTTGTTAAATGGTTGCTAGCTGATTGTCCGATGGTTGCTGAATGGTTGCTGGTTGGTTGCTGGATGGTTGCTAGATATTTGCTGAACGGTTGTTTTGCAAATGCAACCAGCTTATAATATAATTTGAAAATGGAGGATTGAATGACTGGTGAGTTTAAAGTGCTCTCATCTGCTTTTAAACATGAACGGCGACACATGAAGGCCAGAAAGACGACATTGCATTAAAGGATTGTGTTGTTTGCATGCAAGTTGTCAGGGGCATGAGTTCATCTTTTCACTACCTCCAAGCCATAGTTGTCACTACCACACCTCTGTGCATCAGGAATCTTTGAAGATTAAAATTGAAATTGAAAACTAAAAAATAATTGATAGGTCTTAAAAAATTTATTTTTGCTGCTTTTTTTTAACCAAATAAGTGCTAGATATTTTTTATGATGGTTTAAATGAATTTTGATTGATGAATTGCATTTAAAGAAATGAAACAAGCCAAATAAAGGACGCTGGTAAAATAAGCGCAGTTATTAAAATTTTATAAAATTAGTCGAAAAATTTGTAGGATAGTGTTCATTTTTAATTTTTCCTCAATAATATAGGCACTTTTTTCAAATTTAAAAAGACAGCAAGTAGAAGCAGAAGGTCTCAACCGGCTGCATCGCAACGGAAACTGAAACAACTGAAAGAGTCGGAGGACGCGCTGAGAGATAAAGAGAGACAACTCGAACAATTTGAAAAGAAACTTTTGGCAACTGACATGGAAAACAAAAAAATTTTAGAAAACATAGAAAACATTTGCACTGCTCTGGAGAATTCAAAGTACATTTGTTATATAATGCTCACATATAACCTCATTTTATTTTAATTTTGACTTCATAATATTAAGTTTCATATACTCCATTAATTAGATCTATAAAGTATCCCGTTCGTCATGTGTGAATTTTTATTAGATTATTTACTGAGTCTTTTTTTTATTGAAAACTTCGGTTAAAGTTTCTTTCCGGTTTTCTTATAATTTGCAATTATCATTAAGGTTAATGTTATTAATGTCATTAAAGTTAGGTTATCATTAATGTCAATCCTTACGATTCAAAATAGCTTAATTTACCACCATCATTATCGTTATCGCCATCATCATCATTCGAATTCATCTTCATCGTGGTGAGTCATCATCATTGTTAACATCATCACCACAATTCGTCGTCATCTTTACAATTCATCGTCATCATCATCATCACAATTCTTCATCACAATTCATCATCATCACAATTCATCACCATCTTCACAATTCATAGCCAACATCATCATTACAATTCAACATTATCATCATCACTACAATTTATAATCATTACGATTCATCATAATCTTCACAATTCATCATCATCTTCATCATCATTATTTCAATTCATCATTATCATCACAATTCATCATCATTTTCACAATTCATCATCACCACCATTATCACAACTCACCGGTATCGTCATCATTACAATCCCTCACCAGCGATTCAGCAGCAGCAGCAGACAAGCATCATAGAGACCTGGCTATGGAGCCAGACGTGAATCAACTTGGCAGGTACCAACTACTCCTGCAGGCACTGGCCCTAAAAATCGATGACTTCACTACTTTGCTGAAGAACATCAAGGAGGTTGGCATCATTATGATGTCTACAAATACTTTCCTTGAAACATGTTTTACGTGTTAAAGCTAATTTATGATTATATTTCATTGACTTTAAATAACAATTTATACTTTTTGCAAATGTTAATTAAATTTTATTTTTATTTAAGAAAACGAGAACTTTAGCAATGACAATTTTAATATAAGTAATCTATTGAGATTAACAGAAGTTTTAGTTACGGTAGTAGGAGGTTTACAAATAATTGGAGATTGTTGTACGTTCTGCACGGCCATCGTGTGCGCAACGTTTCCTTCCTTTTCCAGGATATGCTGTTCAACTCCTCGCCGGCATTGACGGAGGTGCAGATGGATCACCTGGTGACTCAGAAGAAACTTCTGGAGAGGGATCTTCGGAGGTTTGATGAAGTCTTCAGCTTTTTGAGGAGGGAGATGATCAGACTGCTGGAGGAGAGGCCCAACTTCATCCAGTTGAACGTCGAAAGGGATGATCTCCTCAATAAAGTTCACAAACTAAGCAAGGCACACGAGGTGGTTGGTTGGTTATTGGAATGAATGTTCAGCTGTTGTGCAACTGCCGAGGTGTGCATACTTCAACTTCTTGTTGTCATGGACGATGATGAATGATAACGATGGTGGTGCTATTTTGTTTTTTGGAATTCGTTTTCGGAATTATAACTTGAAGCTTTCTTGTTAAGGTGTCTGGTTAAATTACATTAACGTGTTTGTTACTACCACGAATCACCAAATATTTTTTGTATATATATATATACACACACAAATATATATATATATATACATACATACATATATATATATATATATATATATATATATATATATATATATATATATCGTTTCTGGAGACCACCAAATGCATCATTGTTATGTATTATTAGATTTTACAGGCCGACTTGAAGAAGATGAGCCTGGAGAAGAATGATGTCCTGTCTGAGTTGGAGGCTCTGAAGGTTGGTTGGTTGGTTGTTGGGCCGGCCAGCGTCGCAAGTTCTTCTTGTTCATGTTGCTATTTAATTTATCCCGTTCATTTTGTTTATTATTTTTTAAAAATTATTTTCTTTCGTGATTGTTGGGATATTTGTTTATACTGAATACCAAACTGAAAAAAAAACAATTTATTTTATTTGATTGTTTATTAAATTATTCAACAGTTTTTTATGCTTGCTACCATAGTGATGCTTTGATATAAACGATTTCTGATATTTTGTTTTCATAACTTGATGAAATAATCTTCAGTCGGAACATCTTCAGAACGTGAACAGCATGGAAAGTTTGAAGCAGACGAAAGCACATTTGCAGCGGGAACTGACGAACAAAGAATCAGAACTTTCGAGGTTGACTAGTAAGGTTAAAAATTTGGAGACCTCACTGCACGTCGAGAAGTCTTTGAAAGAAGAGTTGAAAGAAAAAGTGAATGTGGATAAGGAGAACTTTAAAAAAGCAGCGAGGTTCGTAATACGCACGTGCTTATTTTCATTAGGAGCGAATTAAATATTAAACAGTGTAGGACATCATTCATTATAATTAATTTAAATACTCAGCGATTGGTTGTGGATTTTTTAATAGAAATTGTTTATTGAAGATTTTCAAGCATGTATGCATTTTGAACAGACTGCACAAAATGAGAGCTGATAAGAACGAGTCCAACCTGGCGAACGCGCAGACTGCACTGGTTGAGAAAAACTCCGAGGTTGAGAAACTCGTGGAGCAAATGAACAGCATGAAGTTACAAATGGCCAAGATGGCTAAGGAAAAGATGATGGCAGTTGCTGAACTCGATAATGTTAAGAGGTGTTGTTATTGTTTATGTTGTGTTAATTAATCTGTTCATAATTAATCTTATGAAAGTGAAGTTGGTTCTGCTGAATCTAATTATAATTTTATGACTTGTAAGGATTTTCTCATTATTGTGCAACAATTCGTCAGCATCTGCTTGTCTTCTATTTAAACAACATTATACGCAAGTTAGACTTTTTTCTATTTTGTTCCATTTTAAATGTCAGCGTCCAGCAAAAAAGGAAAAGTTCGGCAGGAGGTGATGCTGATGCGGATGATAATGATGACAACAGCTCAAAAAAACTTAAAGAAATAAAGGTAAGTACTTTTACTTTTTCAATCATTCATTCGGTAAAGTTTTGAATACGTACACACGCACACACGTAAGAATGCAAGCAGGTGATGGTTAAATGGACTTCTCTTGCTGGCATTTGAATGCATTGGAGGATCTAGACAACTTTGACGGGGGGGGGGCAAAATTTTGAAAATGTTTAAAGTTTAAATTTTTTTTCAAATTTGGACAGGGGACCAAGATTTGTGGTAGCGTGGCCAAAATTAGGCTGGCGAGCTTTTTTTGATATAAAATGTGTTTTTTATGCAGCAAAAGCTGAGTTCTTTTAATAAATATACAACTGGGTGATGGTCTCTCCGGCCTTACCCCAAGATCCGCCACTGAATGTATACGTATAATGCATATACATTCAGTGGCGGATCTCGTACATTCAGTACTGTATTTTAATAGCGCTCTGAAATTCCCCTGATTGTTATCAGATTTGAGATCTAATGCACCGTCATCCCGGTGTTCACGCAAAGCAAAATTTTGTCTTCCACAAAGTTTAATAGTTTTAATAATAGTGTTAAACATTTTTCTCTTTTGCTCTATTTTTGTGGAAAGAGCGGAGTTTGATAACTCTATAACATTAGTTTTATTTTTAATCAAACTCGGAAACATTTTTGATTTTTCTGTAGCCTCTCTATGAAAAGATGTCGCTTGATGACAGCTGCATTGATCTAAAGCTGATTTATAACGATTTAAAGGTGATATAACAGATACTCCGACTAAGCCACATGATGACTCTATTTGCATAAAGTACACAAAACCTACAGAATGCTCCTTTTTTCAAATCAGAATAAGATTGTCAGGAAAATTCTTGAAACCAATAGTATTTAAAAACCCGTTGTCTTTTACCTTCCAGCACAAATGAAAATTTATAATTTTCGTCAGGTTTCCATGGATTTTTCAAAAGATCATATCTTAAATCATTCGAAATGCTTGGGATTTCTGCATTTGCATATTGTCCAATATCTAAAGGTATTGTTTCCTTTGAAAAACTTTGACATGAATTACCAGTTTTGTCTGAAACATCAGTCATGTCATCGTTTAAATTTAATGAAAGGCCTTCTTCCAAGACATCAGATTCTATAATTGTAAAAAAAAACGTTGAGATTAATTTTTTTAATTTTCCTACCAGACCTGAATGGTTAAATACTACAAACTTAATTCAAGTCTAGTCGGGTAATGACTGGTACGCATTAACCCTAACCCAAAAAATGTTTTTATTATTCAGCTTATTGCTAATTTTTTTAGTTGAAAAAACAAAATTATTTCATATGCAATTATTGAAATATCTAGGTATTAACGGCCTCAACTGTATTGAGTTTTCAATAAAAGAAATATACTAAGAAAACACGAATTATTTTTATTTAGTGCCGCAAAACACTATTTAAGTTTAAAATATGAATTATATTCTGAAATAAACTTGTATCAAATTTATATAATAAATCAGCGTTATTTTTTATTGTTAAAAAGAGTCGATCTCGAAATTTTTTTTTTATTATTTAACCCTGTCTTGAATTGAACTGAAGATAACGTGGGGGCCCCCCGGCCCTCCTCTAAATCCGCCACTGTTTGAATGCCATTGCACAGCTGTTTCAGTCAACTCACCAATGCACTAAACAATTTTTTTAATTTTATAGAAAGCTTTGAAACGTGCTGAGGCAAGTTTGAGAGAAAATGAAAATGAAAGTAACCGTTTGAAAGCAAAACTTGGAAATTCTGAGCACGCAATGGAAGATTATAAAATTGAGGTAGACTTAAAGTTTGAATCTGTAGTTGTTGTTCACTTCTAAAATGATTTTTTTTTACTTCATCATCATCCCTTCCTGTGTTGTACAATTTTTATAACAGGTAGACTTAAAAAAATCTTTATTTCATCAAAACATGACTTGACTTAGGCTGTTGGTGACTGACTTCATAACTTCCCTAGACTTGACTTGAAATTTTCGACTTATACAACTTGACGTCATTTCTGAAATCACTTTCCTCAATTTATCATAACAAGATGCAGCGCTATAAAGCCACATGCCTAACCTTTTTAAATAGACATTCAAACAACTTCTTGTTTCTTTCTTAATTTATTTCTCGTTGGACGTTTTAGTTATTCATGTTTTGTTGCACGCAGTTGAGTAAGCACAAACTGGAAATCGAAAGATTAAGGCAAGAACTGTTGAACTCAAAATTGGACAAAGATGCCGAATACAACAAGGTAACATTTTTTATTGTATCTACACACTTACAAATCAACGGTTGCATGTCCGATTTTGATTCTATGTCGGACAGCACAAATGTGTTGACATTGAACTGAACCCTTGTGCATACATCATCATATGATTTCATGCACTGAAAATACCTGCCCCTAGAGCTATTAAAAACTTAGGTTTTTTAATTTTTTTCTTAGGTTTTTATAGGTTATTTGATGGCTTATAGTTTTTTTTAGATTTTATTAAGTGTTTAAAAAAAGTTTATATCTCCTGATTCACAAAACTGAATTGAAAAATTTATATTGTTATTTTAACAAAATTATTGATAAAAAAGTACATTTTAAAAATTTATTTAAAAAAATTTTTTCTAAAAAATTGTCAAATTTCAATTATCAATTTCCGCACTTTTATTTTCATATTCAGTTTCAGAGCATCCATTCCTTTCTAATAGATTGATTGAAACCACATTTTTAAAATTTAATATAAAATATTAAGAAAGAAAAATTGTTCTATCAAAACTATCATTGTCAAGATTTTATATTTCAATAATCAATTTCCCTAACTTTTATTTTCATTTTCAGAGCATTTATTTTTACTAGATTTTATTCACTTTGCTAAATTTAATATAAAATACTTAAAATAAAAACTATACTACAAAAAATGCGGTCATTGTCATATTTCAATTTTCATTACTTTTATTTTCATTTTCAGAGTATTCATTCTCACTAACTTCGCATTCACTCTCACTATCAGTATCAACAAATTTAACATCTTCACCCACAAGCCCATGATAATTTGTTTTTGTGTATACTAATTTTTTAACTCATTCATCGCTGAGGCAATCGCGATACTTTGAATGTATGAAACCAAAAGTTGCAAAATTCCTTTCGGATGCAGCATTTGATGATGACATTGAAAATATTCCAATAGCTATTTTTTGCAGTTTATGCCAGAAAATACCATCTAACTGCCAATATTGCGTTAGAGTTTTTCGATTGGTGTCCAACATTTCAAAACGAACTGAGTTGTCTGTCTTCTTTATGAGATGATATGACATATTTAGCTAATTCTTTACCTAATATAATTTTTCTTTCTTTTGTTGTAACACTGTTGTCATTTTTTGGTATAGACATCTTAAGTGAATCTTCCATGGATCTTCTTGAATCAGCAGCTGAGCCATCACAAATGAAGCGTGGATCCAACAAGTAACAAGTGCCATGAGTCTCGCCATATATCAATTTGAAGCGTGATTTAACAAGTTCACTCAGTGTAATTTCAGTTATCGAAAGAATTTCTGGCATTTCTGTGAACTTGGCTGACAACTGTTTAAATGAATGAAAAACTTCAAAAACTGGTACACCAACATTCTGAAGTTTTACTATTTGTTCATCAATTGGCTTTAAGATTTTTAATGCTTTTTTTCAAATTGTTTAGAAAGTCATCATTAAAAACGAAGTCTTTGAGACGTTGCAGCTTTTTCCTTTTTCCAGATTCTATCAATAAATTTGCATTCTTCAAAAATTATAAAAAATCAGCCGTTCTGAATCTGAAATAGACTTGAAACATTGTTGCAATGAGCCCCAACGAGTTGAAGATGGCTGCAGCAAAGCAATAAGTTTTTCAGCTTGTTGTATCAGATTCAATCTTGTCTTCATCGCATGATGATTATTGAAAAAGTTTACTAAATCTTTATATTTACAATCACTGGCTATTTGAAACAATGTTTCAAATGGATATCTCATTGGATAAGTAGCTTCTGACGCTTCAGGTTTTTTAGTTTTTTGTAGCTCCAAAAATATCTTTCACCAACAAATGTAGTTAGTAGTTTTGACCAAGGATTTTTGAAAGACTTTACGATTGTTCAAATGCCTCTGGACATATTCTGATTTTTTAAGATAAGTTATTACAAATTTGCAATGTTTGCAGATTGCTGATTTTTTCAGTTGAGGGTTTGTATTGTTTTTAAATTGTAGCCATGCAGATGAAAAGTCACGTCCTCGTTTGGCTGGTGGTGAAGCAGCCACATTGTTAAAAATTCCAGCTGCATTTGCATTTCACATTTGCATTCACCACATGCTCCATTTCAAATTTAAAAACATCAACTAACTAAACACACAAAGTTATGTTTTAATAATATTTCAAGATTATCAAAAACCATAACAAAAATTGCATAAAAAAAATTAAAAAATTTTGTTTTTTAAATTTAAAAAAACATAAAAAACCTGAAATTTTATCATTTTAAAAATTTTAGTTTTTTTAAAAAACATAAAAAATCTAGGTTTTTTAAAAATTGGTTTTACAGCTCTGCTTGCACCATCATCCCATTTCTTACACTGAAAATGCATGCACCATCATTTAATTTCATGCAGTGATTGTCAGAGTTTGATGCATGCTCGTTTGCTAGTTTGTTTGTATATACGTACGTTGAATGAAATCAAATCATTAATAAGTGATACAGGACAGTCAACCATTTATTTCACTAAAAGTTTTCAGTCAGAGCTTGCGCCTCGTAATTATTGAAAACAGAACAGTCTCGATCCAATCGGCAGATCATTCCATGACACACCATTTACACGAGTGCTTCTTTTAAATAATCAGACCAAATCTGAAATTAACAGCTATTTTGAATGTTTTATCGTCGAGTCTAATAGTAAACCTACCGATCTGTTGGATCACGACTTTAAAAAACGGACACAACTTCCTTTGATGGATAGAGTCAGCAAACAGGAGGCTTAAATTGAGCTATAGTTACTGGGTGGCAGAAGTACCTGAAAGAATCTTTCTTCGACGATGAGCCCGTAAAAAGACTGCTTGTGGGGTTGCAAATAACAATGGTTAACAATGGACGCGGTAAGACAAGCTGCCAGTTGAATGTTATATATATATATATATATATATATATATATGGTATGGTATGGAGAATTTATATAGCGCCCCTCTATGTAAAACTCTGAGGCGCTGTTCGAGAAGCTGCCGGTCAAAAAAGTGATGTTTAAGTCGTTTTCGGAACATGTCTCTTTCATCCATACTATCAACGACATCATCGGGCAGTTTATTCCAAACCTCTGCTGCAGCCACGGAGAAACGACGCCGTCCATAATTTTCTGTCTTGAACCTAAAAACAACGAGTTTCTTTTTGGCAGAGGATCTGAGTTTTCGCCCCCCGGCAGCCGTAGGGACAGGCACGATCAGCTGTTGAAGGTATCGAGGACCAAGCCCCATCAAACTGTCTCTTGTAAACATTGCTATTCTGAATTCGATTCTATAACAAACTGGCAACCAGTGAAGCTCATTTCGCATATATGATGAAACAGATTCATATTTTGTTACACCAGCAATTATTCTTGCTGCAGTGTTCAGAATAGACTGTATGCAGTTTTGAAGATACAAGCTTGCACCATAGAGGATTGAACTGCAGTAATCTATTCTTCCACAAATGAAACTGTGCATCAATGAAATTAAGCATTCATTTGTCAGGTACTTTTTTATACGTCTGATTTGGCGCAATTGGTAAAAACATGATCGGCAGACATTTTTCACATGTTTATTCATCTTCAATTCAGGATCTATCCAAACACCAAGATTTTTGACTGGCTCCACATATTCCTGAATACCAGTTAATTTTTGACCCAACCAGATGTATTGTGTCTTGTCAATATTCAGCTTCAATCCATTTGCCAGCATCCATTCTGAGACAGTTCTGACACCTGTTTGAGTTCTGTCCGCTAGTTCCTGTCTTTCTTTGATATTACAGTAACTATACAGCTGTATATCATCTGCGTAAAAGTGACATTTCAAACCCGATGACTCAACAACTTCCACAATATCTGCCGTATAGAGAACATAGAGCAGGGGTCCCAGAATTGATCCCTGTGGAACTCCTTTCAACAGTGGGGAGGAAGCAGGATCAGAGCCATCAACACATACCGTTTGCGATCTGTCAGACAAATAGGATTCAAACCAGGCAAGGACTTTGCAAGTCGATCAAGAAGGAGCTTGTGGTTGACCGTATCGAAAGCAGCTCCGACATTGAGCAGAGCCAAGAGAGAGATACTACCAGAATCAATAGCCTCATAAACATCATTGAAGACCTTTAGAATCGCTGTCTCAGTTGAGCGTCCAGAGCAAAAACCTGATTGAAGTTCAGGGAAAAGTCGGTTTAATTTCAGGTATGCGATCAATTGTTTGGCCACCAATTTTTTGAAATCGGCCGATAGCTCCTAACATCACTCGCATCGGAACCAGCTTTTTTTAGCTTAGGAAGTATGATAGCCCTTTTCTGACTCTCCGGCAGACATGACGATTGTAGTGATGCATTACATAATGGCATCAAAATACCAGAAAATTCTTTGATCAAGAAAGATGGTGCAGGGTCAGTACCACAACTTTTTGCTCGCATCAATGACATTATTTTTGCCACCTATATATATATATATATATATATATAGGTGGCACCTTATATATATTTTCGACAATCTCAAACTGGTCAAAATGACAGATAACTTCTCTGATGACAGGAGATTGTGGTCTACAAAGATCATCGATATGTGCTGGCTTTGTCTTTTTAACAATATATTTCAAATACTCCTCTGCAGAAATCTTGCTAGGCTTGAAAGTTTCATGTTATATGTATATATATACATATGTTATATATATATAAGTTATATATATATATATATATATATATATATGTTATATATATATATATATGTTTTATATATATATATGTTATATATATATATATATATATATATGTTATATATATATATGTTATATATATATATATATGTTATATATATATATATGTTATATATATATATATATATGTGTGTGTGTGTGTGTGGTGTGTATTTGTTTGTGTATATATATGTATGCATGTGGGCGTGTATTTTTACGAGCACATATCTGCAGGTATATATGCAGCGCTCCCGATGTCAATTTCGCGGGAGTCATGCAATACAAAATGGTAAATCAGTTACCCTGTTCTGTCTGAAAATAAATGGTTTATGCAACATAATTCCACCGGATAGGCTTGGATGTCTCTATATAGATGATTTTATGATAGCTTACAAAATTAAAAATATTGAAAATATTGAAAGAAAATTAAACGGTTTATTGAACCAAATCTATGTCTGGTCAACAGATAATGGGATTTTTTTTCAAACTCAAAGACTACGGCCATATTATTTACAAATAAAAGAAAAATAAAATATCCAAAATTATATTTAAATAAAATACCAATCAAATTTGATAACAAAATAAAATTCTTGGGTTTAACCTTTGATCAAAGGCTCAATTTTATAAATCATATTAAGTATGTTAAAACTAAATGTTTTAAATACCTCAATATAATTAAGGTTCTTTCTCATTACAAATGGGGTGCCAATGACGAAAAGTTATTAATGATATATAGATCCAAAATACGATCAATAATAGACTATGGTTTCCAAGTCTATGGATCTGCCAAAAAATCATACATAAATTCACTACTCCCAATTATAAATGAATCTCTAAGATTGTGTTTAGGCACATATAGAACCTTTCCATCTCTGAGCTTACATGTGTTGGCCAATGAAATTCCACTAAATCTCCGACATATTAAATTGTCACTCAACTATTATTTTAAAATCATATCATACCCAGAAAGTCCCTTATATAAATTCATTAAAAGTAAAAAATTATTTATAACTAACTTTCTCAAAAAACCTAAAGCAATAGCTCCATTTTATTTGCGCATTGAAAATCATATTAAAATCATAAAACATCAAGATATACTTAAAAATCCTGAACTTCCTTATTTCTGGAGAATGAATGAAGCTTCAATAAATACAAAACTAACAAAATATAAAAAATGTGAGGACCAATACATCATACAATCAATAGTCAAAGAAATCATCAATCATAATATTAATAATACCATAATTTATACAGATGGATCAAATATAGATCATTCAACAACAGCATCAGCTATAATAGATAAAACAAAAATAGCCATACATTTGCCTGATGACACTTCAATTTTCACTGCCGAGCTTCAGGCAATCAATAAAGCATTAGATTACATAAAAGATGAAATTAACAAATCATTTATAATATTGACTGATTCTTTATCAGGTGTACAATCACTAAAACAATATACAAGTAAAAATAGCCTTGTTAATACAATAAAAATTAAAATTCATAACATTGTACAAAATAACTGCCATATTAAAATAATCTGGATACCAAGTCACATAGGTATTCTTGGTAATGAAAAGGCCGATCAATTAGCTTTAACAGCCCACAATGAACCCATACTAAATACAGCAATGATTTACTCAGACATTAAATCAATAATAAATAAATATATATACATGGCCACACAAAATTAACACATGGATATATATTAAATAAGTCAGATCAAACATTATGTCAATATTGCGGACACAAATTAACAATCCAACATATTATCACTTGCGAGAACCCAATTACACATAGACATAAACATTTAATATATAAAGAGCTTTCAGAGAATTTTAAGAATAACAATAATATTATCAATGTAATACAATTTCTGAAGGATTGTAACTACTACGATATGATTTAAATATCTTTCCCCTAGTATTTCTCTTTCCCCACGTTCAGTGCAATAAACATTTTTCATATTATCGGAACTTCTATTTTTCCACATGTAAAAAGAAAATAATTTTTTCTTAATTTGGCAAACAATTGCACCACTTTGGGAGCATAAATGCCGTTAAATATGAACAACAACAACAAAACGGTAAAAAGAGCAGTAATTAATAGCAGGAATGTATTTACGTGATTCCAAAGAGTAGGTGTGTGTGCGGAGATTAGTGGAAACGTTCAAGTTTATTTCAAATATATAAAATAATTGAAATCCATTAGTAGGAATAAGCTTTCAAAATTTGTTTAATTTGATCATGAAACTCAATTCAACATTTAAGGCTCGAGAGCAAAAGGTTTCTGCTGGTGTATACTACATGTATGACGATTTTTTGTTCTCTTCTTGTAATAGTTTTTAATTATTTTTTATTATGTCTGATTTGTATAGAGCAAGCACATTTCACACATTTTTTGAACTACACATGAGATTGTTCGCTATTTTTCCATTATTGAAATTAATGCAATTCCAAGCTTAAAGCTACACATCAACTGTGCACTGTGTATTTCTGAGAGTTGATTTAAAATAAACGAAAGCAAATTTAACGTTTGGTGGTTCATCATTTACTGTAGAGTGAATTAAAATCAATTCTTGTTTGTACGGATGTTTTTAATTTATGCAAATCACTCTATTCCGCAAATCTTCATTGAGAGCAAGCTTGCTGAAATTGTATGAAAGTGGAAGCTTTATCTAATTATTTACTATTTGTTATGTTAATATAGTTAAATTCATTGCTCCAAAATAACCTGGTGCATGGTAGGATAATTTCGTCAAGACTGACTGATGTGACTGGCCGTGTCTGACTTCATATTGAGATACTTAACAATCGGTCCATTGAATGTTTTCGAGACAGTAAAAACCTAAGACTCATGTGTAACATCTGCAAGATGAAGAAACACATTGTTTGTCACTTTATCAGCTTGTAGTGTGGTGCTTTGTTGGAATTTTGTAATGATGACGTCATATCTTTTTCCCTTGTTATGAACCCTGACTGATAATAATGACAGTATATCTATGCAGCGCACATGCAACTGAAGTTTTTAAAAGTGTTTTTTTCAGATAAATTAAGAGGTTTGTTTTTGTAATTCTCCCCCATTTTTTTCTATTTGATCGTTCTGATGTGACTGAAAAATCATCCATCAGCTCTTGAAGGAAGTGGAAATGATTGATTTAAACAAGAGACTCCAACAACAACCTGACAACAGCAGCACCAGCAACAAAGAACTTGCCGATAAAGTTTCGCAACTGGAAAGGTTTCTCGTGATTGTTATTATTATTAATATTTCGGCGATTATTTTTTTTTAATTATTATTATTATTATTATTATTAACACAGTGGAGCAACTTTGATATTTTAATAAGCGGTTGAATGATATTTATTTATTAACAAATATTCACTTCATTGTTAAAATTTGTCATCTGTTGCATCAGAAATGAATGATTTGATGATAAGGATATGTTGCTTCATTTCATATTCTTAAATTCAGAAATTTATATATGTACGTGTGTGTGTGTGTGTGTGTGTAAGTGTGTGTGTTTATGTATGCGTGTATGTATGTAGCTAAATGATGTGTGAACGATTTTATATTTGAATAATTGTAAAATTTTTGTGGAAAAAAGGCAAACTTATTTGACTGAATATGCACATAAAAAAAATGTGATTAATAATATTTTTGTTGAATCATCTCAAAATACAGTCGGACCTCCGTACAACGAACTTGAGGGTTCCATGAAAAAATTCGCTATATAGAAACTTTGTTATATAGAATTTGTTCGGTAAAAATTCTGTATAGCTTAAAAGGTGTTAATATGCTATATATTTATGAAAAACACCCTCCTAATCATTTATTTTTATAATAGGATTTATTAATACGTAGTATAATTACAAAAAAATTTAAAATAACATAAAATTATATGTACTGGTACTTACGTGATACCTATATATAGCAAAAAGCATAATACGTAAAACAGTAATGCACAAATAAAACTTATAGTAGACATAGGAAATTCGTTATATAGAGATTTTCGTTATATAAAAGTATAAAAGTTCGTTATAATGAGGTCTGACTGTAATTAACATTGATCGCAAAACATTGTTAATGCATATTTTGACTGAATTTGATTGCTTGGGTACAAGGAAGTTGAGCATGCTGGAGGAGGAGAACAGGGAGCTGAACATCGCCAGTGCCAGGAGGGAGGAGTCCCTGAAGCAGACGAACGTTGGTCTCCATTCTTTTCTTTAGTGAATATTTTGTTTGTTTGTTTGTGCCGCGTGTGCTGTGCGGTGAAACATTTCTATACTATTAAAGGTGTTATCAGCAGTTTCTTCGACCTTGTAACACGATCAGTCGACTTTATTAGGATGATGGGATTATTATGTTTACGTGCGTGGAAGTTAAAATTTATAATTACTATAATATCAGTTTTGTGCAGCTCTGAATAAAAAAAAGTTTTATATTCTGTTTTATTATGAAATCAATTTTACAATTAAAATCCTACCGATCAACAAACCGACCACGTGATCAGTTGCGATTGGAGGAGAAGATAAATGAAGGTTTGATGATGCAGAGGCAGATAGACAACATGATGCTTGAGGCCAGGAAGATGAAGGACCACGAATCTAACAGGATGACATCTGCCGTGAGCTACTAAACTTAAATTAATTTCGTGAAAATAGAGACGTGAACTATTTAAAACGTGAAATGTTCGTAGGACCAAGCAAACCAGGTGCAGATGTTGGAGATGGAGTGTCAGTTGAATCAGTTGAGACACGAAGTTAACAAACTGAAGAGGGAGAAGGAGGAGGTTTGTGACTCCTGATCACTTTTCCACTTTTTTGACTGATAATAATGCTAGCTTATGCAAAATATGCATTATTTTGATTTCAAGTATAATTCTAATGCGTTATATGTTTCTGCCACCTATGAGTTTTTAAATGAATCGGTTAACCGAATAAATTAATTATTTGAATAAATCCCCAAAAATGTGAAGGCTGAGAGAAGATTGAATCAGCGAACAATGGACATGAAGGACAGACTGGAGCAGTCGTGCAGCACCAATCGAACTCTCCAGAACTACATTCACTTCCTCAAGAACTCGTACGCATGCGCCTTCAATGACTCTCCCCACATCACCAGCCTCTCACACCTCCAAGATCTCAACTCCCGTGACTTCTTGGCAGGGGATTTCGTCGGCAATGTCGGCAGTGGTGCAGGGAATATTTTTTAATGCTGATTCAATTTCATTTAACGTTCATTTTGATTTTTATCACTTAACCCTTGTTCAAGTTAACTTCTCTTGTAAATGTTCTCTGTTATCATCAGAGATTCTAGGCTAAATGTTTTGAGAAATTGTTACAAAGGTTTGTAGAAATTAAAAATGTTCAAAAGTGGCCAAATGAAACAGTACGGAATTTACCAAGCAAGCAATATTTAATATATATAAAATACAAGCATGAGAAACATGGTGTAAGTATACTTTTTGTGATGATAAACTGTCGGTGACGAGTGGGGTATGGACCATCAAACTGACGCCAGGACTTACTGTTTGAAAATTCAAGAATCCAAGAAATTTAGTAAGGTGATGTTTTAGAAGCGTTATCAGTTTAGTTTTAAACAAGTGAGCTAAGATACTTGTGACAGTTATGAAATGGTGTGAGAGTCATTGAAAATACATTTTCATGCGTTTGTTATGAAAATTTCTAAAAAAAAGAATAGTGTGGATTTGATGTATTCAGATGTTATTCAACTTTGAAGATGATGAATTTCTCAGACACCATTTAAACATTATTCGTTCAAGTTCATATTACCATTTTATTGACATTCAAATTTTGTTTATTATTTCAACGCTACGTTGGACTGGTTGCGAGAATGGTTATAAATTTGTTCTCGTCGAGTAGGCAGAAGTTAAAACTATCAACCCGAATGATAAAAGTTCAAACATTGGTTCATTTTAAACATTTTCAACTCGAATATAGAGGATAATAGTTTTTGCACGATAGTTTTCATTACCTGGTTGTCACTTTCTATCTGCCACGATCATTTGCCTATGAAATAATTTTCAACAATCGATCATCATTTATTTTCAGATTGTTTTCGCTATAAAAGAAGTTGAAATATCGTTATCACGAGTCTGATACTGTATAATGATAATTGTGCTAATGCGTGAGTGCAACGTTTTGTTCCATGTTATCGAAAGTACCTTGTTATTTCAAAAGCAACTTTATAGCGAGAATAATTGCGAACTTTTAACATTTAATTTGTTTCTGTATTGATTTTGAGTCAACATGACAATTGAAATTTGTTCGCGTTTAGGTTGGTTAGTACAAGCGACGGCAAATGATTCCGATAAATATTGAACCAATTCACTTTTTTTTTATTGAGATTAGCATTGCCCGTTATTGCAACCTTCATTTATTAAACTGGGAATTGCTGGGTTTAATAAATTTGGTTCGATGAAGTTATTATTTGATAACGATTGTTAGATAGAAAAGAGTTCATCAAACTCTTCGATCACGTCCTGCAAGGAAGATATGAAGACTGCAAGGAAGATATGAAGACCTTCCAAAATATGGACCGCTGAAACTAGGTGGGAACGTTGAGTTTAATAAAATTTGTCAAAAATGGGAAAGGATCTTTGGATTCAACAACAAAGATGAATACCATCAATCTCAACGGCCTTTTAAAGGATTACAGATGATTATTGATTGATTGATTGATTGAATGATTGATTGATTGATTGATTGATTGATTGATTGATTGATTGATTGATTGATTGATTGATTGATTAAATAGATGTTCCTACTAATAAATTACACTTAAAAATCGAAATGAAGCATTCAACTAACCTGGAATCGTTTAGATCAATATATCCTATTTTGTTTTGACTTGTTGATCACCCAAGCCCCTACTGTTTGGATCTCCCTACAGCAGTTAAGATGCATGGATGGTGTGCTGTGGTGATGTCTTTGCGGTTCATGCTTCCAGTAAAGTTTTTAATGCAAGTAGTCCGGGAGCCAGTTGTCCGAGAGTGAGTTGTGGGAGCGAGTTTTCAGAGGGCGTGTTGTCCAGGAGCGAGTTGCCCGAGGGCGAATTGTCCGGGGCGAGTTGTGCGAGGGTGAGTTGTGGGGGCAAGTTGTCCAGGGGCGAGTTATCCGGGAACGAGTCGTGGGGCGAGTTGTAGAGAGCGAGTTGTTCGCAAACAAGAATAACATATATTGAAAATGTCTTATTATCGTTGCATATACCATGCGACATTGTACCTTAATAATTTTAGAAACTTTGATCAAACAATCAGAAAAGTATTATTTATATTAAATCGTATTATTAAAACGTATTATATTAAATTTATATTAAATTCTAAGTAAATGATTTTTATCATATATATAGAATATATAGAGTATATATTCCAAGTAAATGACTATTATAGAGCCAGAAAAGATAATTACAATAACATCCTAAAAACTTCAATTCAATTTTAAGCAAATGTTAATTAGCCTAGTTGGTATAAAACAATTTGATTTGATAGGCTGTACCTTAAATAACAACTTGGTACGTTCGAGCAGCAGTAGGCCGAGAATATCATTCAGCTTGATTTGTTTGGACGTTTAGAGTTGTACCTCTCAAGTAGGTTCATTAATTGACAAAATTTATTTAATATAATAAACGTTTAAATTTTTTAATAATATTTATTTTAAAACTTAACAGATCGAGAAAAAATATTTTTAGATTACTTAATAATAACATAATAAATGAATAAATCGTCATTGTTGTTTGCTGATTGCATGTATAATATAATGAACGCAAAGCGAGATAGCAATAAAAAAAGAGAACTCTGCTGATAAAACTTTCCAAAAAAAACAATCATTGGGCACAACCATGCAAGTCAAGCTGCAAATAAGGAATCACTGAACTGAGTACTTTACAATTTTACATGATCTAAACGTTCGCTCGGAAGCGTTTGTGTTTTTAACAATTGCGGATATCATTAGCTTAAGCTGCTGTAGCTTTCAGTAAAAGTAAGTAAAGTTTATAATCAGAAAAATGTGATAAGGCAATAGCATATGATAAAAGAATTCATCCAATACCACACCGCTATAAATACGATAGTGATTTTTCAACTTTCAGTCTTGCATCATCAAATTCCAACTTGGAAGAAGATTTTAGCATTATTTTAATAACTTATAATAAAATTTATAATTTTCATCTATAAATTTCCAAAAATTTGAATTGTGGTTATACCATGGTTAAAACTTTTAATTATATAATTTTTGTTCAGTACAATTTATTGTTTCTATGCGAAAATAATGGGTCATAAAATTTGTTAGCAGCTAAATTTAAATTTCCCGAAGTTAGTTCTGAAACGCTAACGATTTTAAACAGACTGCCGACGAGTTGTTGGTATGCACATATTTTTGGAGTTAAAAAAGCGATTGAGCAGAAATAACGAATCTTGTTGTCTTTTGAGAATAGATGACGGAAATCTATCATTAAACGCTTGATTGCACACAGCTCTCGAAAGCGATATTTTCATATTGTGTGTATGTTGTATGTATGTATATTTGGTATGTATATATATATTTATATCGTTTTATGTACTTACGGAGTCCGTACAAGTTAGTTATAACTTCTGACCTCCTAGTTCTTTAAATAAATAATTAAAGCGATAGCAAATTTAAACGTAAAAAATATTGGAATTTTGTCAAAGCTTATTAAAGCGACTCTGTTTCGTCCGAACACACTTAAAACATCCAAAATTTTAAGGTTACAAATTATATTTGAAGCAATGAAGCAATGCTCGCTCGAAAATTTTCAACGGTTAATGATGACTTGATCGCCCTTGAGTGTGGCCGGTTGGTCGTTCGCATGCGGTGCGCCATCTTGCCCCACGTGGATCGGTTCAGCATGCAACAAAAACGATATCGTAAAAGAAGAAAATTAAAGGTTGTTCCGGCATAAAATATTTTCACTTCGGTAAGAACATCGAATAAATCGACGGATATGTACTAGAAGCCAGTGCAAGACAAAATGTTTCAAAACCGCAACCGTTGGCATCCGCAACGTTTTCTATCCGTATCCGCCTGCCATCCATATTTGCGTTTAAAAAGCAATCGTAGCTAGCGATGCAGTGCTTGGTGTTGATGTCTGTTAATTTAAAAGTAATTAAAAGTAAAAAAAAAGATAGCCAAATCAATCAGATGGTCCAAACGATACATAATTTTACGCACTTCAAATTAAGAAAAAAATTAATTTGAAACTATTCAAATTTTACTAATTCAATTATGCGAGCTTTCTCAAAAGTAAATTCATGAAACCGCATCTGCGACAGAACGGACAATCAATATTCGCAATCCGCTAAATCAGTGGAGTTTTATAAAAATGTTTATCCTCACCGGCGGGCGATTGCTGTGCGATTACCGCGATTTGAAACCGTATTACGGTTCCGTACATAGTGCTAATATGTATGCGCGTATGCATGCAGTTGTATCGCCTGCATTAATGACATTTGAAACCCAAATTTAGAAATAACAAATTTCAAATCTTAACAGCATATATTGCCAAAATAAAAATTATTCCCATGCCCACGGTATGATTCAAACATACAACTATCACCTTCATTCTTTTATTAAATTATGAATATATAATCAATCATTGAATTATAAATCTATCATTAAATTTAAATTATAAATATATCATTAAACATTGAATTATATATATATATATATATATGTATATATATATATATATATATATATATATATATATCATTACCCATCATTTAATTAAAAATATATCATCTACCATTAAATTATAAATAATCACAGAATGCATCAATTATTTCATTTCTTCTTGTGTTTTTTGTGCTTCTAACAGGCAACCTACACCCCTCAACATTGTTATTTCACGTTGGATATTCAATCGATATATTTTTCAAATTTTCATTTGGTTATGTCCATTAAAACAATAAACATAATTAAATAAAAATGTAATTAAACGTACGTAAATATGTATGTTTCAATGCTTGAGTACGTCTGTGTATTCATTTCTTTAGGTGTATTATTTTTATTCGATTTTAATGCAGCTCATTAATTTGCAAGATGTTACACTGCTGGATCAATGCGTAATAAAAAAGTAGAGATGGCTGAAGAAAATAAAATTTATAATTAAATTTTAAAGTGAATCGGTGCTATGTTTTCTGCTTTCATAGTAATCTTGTTAAACAAATATTAATAATAAATTTTGATTTTTTTCTATTTTTCTTTATATTCAAATATTTTTGCAATAACACATATCTTTTCGATATTTTGAAAAAGCGAAGCAACAAGCCAGATGATGGTTTTGTTTTGTATTTTTTATTTCTATAAGACGTAAGTTTTAAACGATCCAATGTTAACTGACAATAAAGATGCAAACCTACTCAACTAATGTTTAAGTAATGTACTGGTGGAACAAATTGAATATTAAAATTGAACACTTTTACGATTCAGTTTAAATGTATTAAAATGACAAAAAGTTGGAGAGCATGAAAAAAATGTCAGTCGATTATTACATTGAACAAAGACCATTTTAACTATAAATTAAAGATCATTTTAGGTAACGATAATGAAAATATAAGTATAGCAATTAAACTGATGAGATTCAGTCCTATCTAACACAAAAGCTTAATAAAATACTAATAAGTGAAAGTGCAATAAAATTGTGATCAGATTGTTACAAAAACAAATAGACAACACTTATGTTTAACACTTACACTCAATCACTCTAGAAATTTCACACAAATATCACATGAACTGAACATATGTAGCAAAACATAATCGCAAACCCGCGAGCTTGAAACACACAAACAAATAAGCATTTTCAAAATGTCCATGTATGTGCAAAAACTACGACGTCATAGTGCTTGCATAACACGAGAACATGCAGCTAATAAACTAAATTGCGTCAAGTATAAAAATTTGTTCACATCCATAAAGCGTTTAGCGGAGAAAATATATATCACGGAAAAAAAAATGAAAAAAAAATAACTTAAAACTTACCTGGTCATTAATTAACCAATCCATTACCAAAAGTAATAGCAGTAAATTTCCTAAGTTAATTCAGACTAGTGACGGATAGACAGATAACAAGTGAAAAATATGTGAAGATTTCAAATAAAACTTTCACAACCTACTAATTTAAAGAGGCAGATTTTTTCTTAAAGTTTTCATAAATTTCTGCCGATTGCAAACCCCAACAGTTTTTCAATTGAGAAAGTTACAGAATATGAGATCAGAAAAGTAATCATTAATTTAAATAATTCCTCTTCTCATGCAGACAATTTTTTATCTAACTTTTTGATCAAAGAAACAATGTTCGCACTACTCAAACTACTGACATACTGTTCTAATTTCTCGTTGAATCAGGGTGTTTTTGCATTGGATAAAAATGGTCCTCGTGATAATTTATTAAACAACCAACAGATCTCTTTAGTATCCTTTTTTTCTAAAGTTATTGAAAAGTTAGTTCATACACGTTTAACAAATGTTGTCAACAATAACAATATATATAATTTGCAAAGTCAGTATGGTTTTTGCAAAAATAGCTGAACTGAATTGGCAGTTTTAGATTTATGTCAAGAGGTTTTGGAAAATATCGACTCTGGTGTTTTTGCTATAGGTGTTTTCATCGATCTGGCGAAAGCGCTTGACACGGTTAGCCCTGTAGAAATCGAGGAAGCAACTTTTGTTGTTAGGATTAACATCTTGCAATCTGTTGGTGAAGTTGTTGATTTGAAAAGTGATACTTTTGATACAGTATGGTCACTGGATGCAAATGGAGCGATAACCTTCAGCTCAGCAAGAAAACCGCAATCATCTGAAAGCACCAAGTCAAAAATATTACAATCTCTGGTAGGTTGATCAACTAATTGATGTAAACCCAACTCATTGAAAAGTTGAATAAACAAATTATAAATTAGATTATTTGGCGAAGAGTAATTTGTCCAATCAATGAGTGGAAGATTGAAGTCACCCGGCAAACAGTTAGCTTTACCTGTACACAGCTCTCTAATGCATTGAACACTATGTGTTGCATAATCATCAGCTGATTTATGAAAACCTCCACTGCGGTAGTAGCAGATGAATCTGCAATTTGTTGCTGACATAGAAACATCAATGCTAACTATCTCAATGCTGGAATATTTTGTTGGTACTTTTACTACCTTGTATGGTACTGAATTTTTAACAATGAATGCCACTCCGCCACCACGTGTTCCACGATCATTTCTAACAAAACTGAAACCTGGTGGCAGATATAAATCATCATGATCATCCAGAGAAAGATGTCAGATGTTTCCACAAGAGAAAAAATGTCAGGATTTTATTCTGATAAAATCAAATTAAGTTCATTCATTTTATTCTGTAGGCTTCTAACATTGGCCAAGGCCACTTGAAGAGATTAATTTGTTGAGACGAAAAGGCATTATTCAATTTATAAGATTTTTCACCGGTGCATTTGTATAACCCAGTACTTGTTGCAATTGCCTATATAAATTGCAACAAATACTGGGTTATACAAATTCTCTATATAAACTTGCCAGAAGTGCTGAAGATGGTTGAAAAATCGAAATAGGCCCTATACACTCGAAAATGAATTGGAAAACTGTATATTATTCTAGCGTTAATAAAATAAATAATGACGACAAGAATTCGGTTCGAAATATTGAGAAATGCAATAAAAAAACTATTCAACGCTAGAAATTCGGTAGATTTCATAAATTACTGCATATATATTTATATATAAATAGGTTTACATACATAATATAGCAAAGACACAATAAGCCTCTGAACACACATAGGCATGTTCACATATCATTTGGACACACAATCATACCTGAAAATTTTGAGCCATAACACAATAATACACATGTTTAAACACAAATGCACAAATGATTAAATATTTATTACTGTGATCAGATTTAATTAGATGGTGAACTCAAGATCTAATTTTGACACATACTTACCCAATTTCAGTCCGAAAAGTTCTTGGTTTTTGATATTGTGTAATTGTGTAGGTAGAAATTTTGACATATTTCAGAACCGGCCAGTATTTTTGATGCTATATGTCATGTCATGTCTTCATCCTGTATTTTCAAAACATCCTCCAATCAATCCCTATCCTTTGCCAATTTTTATTATTTTTTACTTATTTTACACACACATGCACAAACACACACCACACACACACACACACAAACACGCACACACACCGACAGACGCACACCCATATGCATATATACATAAATTATATATCCCACAACATAAGTAATATAGCAATGACTCAATAAGCATCAAAACATACACATCTTCTTGGTTGCAAACCTCTTAGTCTCTTATCCCGGGGATTGTACATCAATGTTTTCCTGGCGGATCTGTTAGCGTCCATTTGTAACACATGACCCACCCACTTCATTCTCTGAATCCTGATCACTTCCGATGTACATGATTAACTCATTTTACGTGCAATCTCCTTATTTGAAATATGATCATGGTACCGAATTTTTAATATTCTTCACAGCCATTTTTTTAGCTATATTAAATTTATTCTCGATTTTCTGCGTTAGATTCTATGGTTCTGCGTCAAGCGTCCTACAGTGGAGTCGGTAGCACCTAGGTGTTTAAGACTCTCATACTACACAATTTTCGAGAAAAAATTTTTGTCGTGTCTTTAGAATAATTTCTCGTACGTCTTTTGAAAGTTACCCCCGCAATGGTCAGTTTTCTCATTATATCTATATTGAATTGTTTTCTGTGAGGGTAATTCGTTTTACTGGTAGACCAGATTTTTAACTATTTTTATATAATTTTCCTCGATTTCTAATTTTAGCAATTGTCCACATTTTTCTGTGACTGTCCTTATCATAATTTTATTGTTTTTTTCCTTTTCTCTGCCGGACACTCTAATAAATTTTTAAATTTTATCAAGTTAATCTGCTATTAGGTGTGTGTCGTCTGCATATTCCAAATGCAAAAAGTATTATGGAATAGATATTACCCTGCTAAAATGTAATGCGTAGTTTCAACCTACTTTTTGTGATGCGTACTCTAGGATTACATTGGAGAGTGTCGGTGACAAAATACAGCCTTGTCTGAAACCTCCTAATATTATGAATGATTTTTCACCGCTGGTTTTGACACAAAATTCCAAACTACTGTAAAAGTTTTTAATTACTTTAAAATATAAATTATTAAAAATTAATTAAATTGTAAAATTATTTTTTAATGCTATATGTAATTCAGGATGCTATTTGGACCACTTTCTTTCCTGACAACACTCACTTTGTGTTCATTGGCCGTTGGTTAGTATGCACTATTTATCCGAACGTTTATATATATATATATATATATATATATATATTGGTAATAGACCATAATTTTTACAATATTAAACGTTTTAGTTTAATAAACTAAACGTTCAACAAAAAACTTTAGTGAGAAAAATTGAAAAAACGAACTACAAACATATTAACGCCAAACATTCGGTAGAATTTATAGAATATTGTAAATATATATATAACTAAAATGCAGTGATATTTCTTAATAACTATATATATATATATATATATATATATATATATATATATATATATATACACATACATATAACACAGTTTCTTCGGCTTCCAATACCTACACCGACTCTGAGGCTAGAAAGATCCTGAGTGACAACGGTTTGTTTTATTGTGCATCAAACATTTTCACTGAAGATATAATTTAAATGTAAGCTAATAAAGCATTTTTTTGTTTGATTTTTTTCAGGTATTTCAGTAAACAAACCAAAACCTGCCACTTCTTTGGATGGCATTCGAAAGAACACCATCAAACAACTTTTGACTTTGAAAGTGGCGTCTGGCTGTGATATTGTCGTGACAGGTCTTCACCTTTGCTACAAATTTTTAATAAATATTAGAGTTTTTTGATTAAAGTTAATTCTGTATTACAACATTGCAACATCTTTCGTACGTTTTATCTTTTCAAACACTTCAGCTGGCACCGAATCAGGCCACAGTACCAGTGGAGTGAAAAATCACGGAACCGGCTACAAAGTGGATATCAGAATTAACACATGCATATCTAACTATATCGAGCAGAATTTTAACTATATTGGTCGGTTTGAAAGATTTCGTTAATGTTATTGTTGGCATAATAGATTTTGCTCTTTAATTTTTCGGCTTTTGAAACCAATTTCAACAGCAACAAATTCTTTTTTTGCACTTCACCATATAATATACAATAAATTTTAAATCAGGTCAACGTGGTGGTGACCAAGCCGATATGTACAAAAGCAATGCAGGCAACATTTACGCGCTGGAAAGTAATCATTGGGATATCTTGTACGTGTAAAAGGATAACAACCTGCTGTTAATGATAGATAACAATCGATGAAAACGAATCATCAAAAAATATCTCTCTATCTAATTGAACTATCTATTTATTAATTAACTCTAAAAATTGCTTTTTTCGAATATGACGATACTGTTTTAATTGACAACATATTTATAGTAGTGGTGAAAGTATTGTTTACATATATTTTTGGGGAACAAAATAAATTACAAATTGGTTCTGTTTTGTAAAAAATTTACATTTCGTCCAACGTTCGTTTAGCCATTATCTTATTTTAATTTTCGTTTTACCAATTTGAGATTTGTGTTTTATGTCTTCAACCTTGCTCCAAAAAAAAACTTTTGTCCTTTGTTCGAATGGTGAAAATCAGCAATTGTTTATGACAATCATATATAATTCGACGTTGATACTTTTAAAATTATTAGTTAATATCTAAATTAAACCTCTACAAATTATACTACTTACTCGTTTCGAGACCGTTCACATTGATATTGTAGGTCCCTTACCGCCTGTTAAACAAGAAAACGAATTTTATCCAAGTGTTTACAGGTATTATTTACTTGTATTGACAGAGCAACTAGTTGGATTGAAGCAGCTCCGATGTCAGAAATAACAGCCTCAACCGTTTTGGATAGCTCGTTTTGGTGCTCCTCTTTATGTTGTAACAGACCGCGGTGTACAATTTGAAAGTGAGTTATTTCATGAGTTATCACGATTGATTGGTTTTTACCGTTTGCGTACAACAAACCAATGGAAAAATAGAACGACAACATCGTACTTTGAAAACATCTATTAGTTACTACAAGCAAAACTGGTTGAACGCACTTCCTGTCCTTCTTTTAGGACTTAGAAACATGCCAGATGAAAATGGAATATTTCCAGCAATAGCAGTAACCGGAACCCCTTTGTTTTAATACCAAATCGATTTTTGTCATCATATTCAAATGAAAACATATCTAACCAAATCAAGCAACTATCGAAAGAGATGTAAAAACTCAATGATTATTTATCAACCAACAGTCAACACCATTCTATCTCTAAAGCCTATGCACCAAATGTTCTTTTAAACACCTGCTACGCATGACTAAGAGTAGATTTAGTACGTCGTCCACTGGAAGCACCATATACAGGCTCTCTCAAAGTTAAACATTATCAAGGATTATAGTGGTTCAGTAGATATCTCTGTGTGAAAACCATTGGATCGATTTTGACTAATAACATTGATTAAAAAACCCAATCTTCCCATTCTGACTTAGAACTCTTGCGCTATAGAATCTGTTTCAGTTTTTTCGTCTAGCTTATTCCAATGTTTAATAACTCTCAAGCCGAAAAATCTTTGTTTTATGCCGATTTTAAGCCGAAAAATCTTTCTTTTATTGTTCCTTTTGTTGTATGTTTTTCACCAAAATGTTTATAAGTAATAAAAAAATTCATGTTCATATATATACAATAGAAATTTATCTTTTTTGGGTTCTTTAATTTATTCGATTGTTATTCATCCTACGTTTAAATTTTTTGTTTTTCTGCGTTTTCTACATTCAGCTCTAGTCAAAATTCTGCTGTAGTTATAGTTATTATTGCAATATAAAAGAAAAGGCTATTTAATCATGATGAATTTGATAAAAATAGGTTAAACCGAATTAACAAAAATACTTCAGCAGTAACCAAAGTAGTCAATCATCTTGATTAAGTCTTATACCAATGGAAAAAAGTTATTTCGTCTTCAATATGATTAGTTATAGCTGTATTTATTCCAGTTGCAAAAGATTTTGAGTTTTTATAATAGGTGATCGAAATGAATGAGACGACGCCTGATCCCTCTCCACCTAATAAAGAATAATTATATTTGAAATGCAAATTAATAAGTTTAAATAATAATACTAAAATAGTAAATCAGTCAACAAATTTACCTTATTTTAGATGAATAGGAACATGCTTTAAATTGATGTTGTCCATGGAAACATATTGTGTCCGTGATGAAAGATAGCTTCGCATCCAGTTGTGAACTGTGTCTCCTACTCTGTAATGATGTAGTTTGGATAAGAGTATTTTGCTTATTTTGTTATCGATGACGTGGAAGGTTTAGGATAAGTTCAAGAAAATGCCAATGGAAAGATTTTTGTGGTTCATTTTTTTAGTATGTGCTGAGTGAAGTCAAGAATGGCAAGCTCAGTTGAATGGTTGGGTCTGAATTCATATTGGTTGTTGTGGATAGTTTTAGTGGAGCTGATGAAATTAGAGAGTCTTTTAAAGAGAAGTTTCTAATAAATTTTAGACAGTGGGGAAAAATGGAGATGGGTCTGCAGTTGTTAATATCATATTTGTTTCCTTTCTTAAATATTGGTATGATTTTGGATACTTTGAATGAGTCAGGAAAGGTTCCAGTGCATAGAGTTAAAGATGTAAATGGTGAGACGATAGAGAAAATTATATTTTTGATAAGAAACATGTTGAGTCCATTACAGCATAGAATGCGGTGTAGAAGGGGTCATAAAATCTTGAGAGTAGTTGGCTAGCAAAGTGGGTATTGAGAAGATCACAAATATCTTGTTTATTTTCAATTGCTTGGTTGTTGATAGTTAGTTTTGAGATTGGTGAGCTTGGAGATTGTTTAGAATTTTTTTGATTTAGTTCCATTTTTGTCCAACATTGTTATATGTATCCATGGATATATATTGTTATATATATCTATGTATGTATCTTCAAGATTGTTAGAGAAGTAGTCTCGTTCAGTTTTTCGCTCAATATATGTGAGCATGTTTAGGAAACTTTTATGGGTGGCAATGTTGCGGGTGGTTGGATCTTTAAGATTTTGATGTATAGTTTGTTTTTCTTTTTTGCTAAGTTAAGAATGTTATCGTTAACCCAGCATTTTTTTCTGTTTTTGGTTGGAAGGAGGGGATAAAAGTGTCAGAAGAGTGAGTTAAGATAGTATTTGAAGCAGAGCAGCAGTCGTTGATATTATTCAGAGATGTCAAGGAGTTCCAGTTTTGGTTAGATAAGAAGTTGTTGATGTTGTTTATGGATACTTCAGTTAGGTCTCTCAGGTTCTTAACAGGGGCATGGTTTGAGTTTTCAGATTTGGAAGCGATGGCGAATATAGGAAAATGGTCAGATATGTCAGATAGTATTATTCCAGATAAGTGATGAGTTAGATTGATAGTAAAGATATTGTCGATGAGTGAGCGAGAAGAAGTTGAGATGCGAGTAGAGGAGGTTATGAGTGGTAAGAAGTTGTATAATGATAGTAGGTTAGAGAAGTCAGCAACAGCATTGTCACTGTTGAGTTTATGGAAGTCGAGGTCGTAGTCGCCAATTAAGTAGCTCTTTATGTGTGGATGGAATGTGGGTAAAATAAGTTCGAGCTTTTGTATTAAAATGTTAGGGTTAGTGTTGGGGGGGTCTATAGGCTGCTAAGATATTTAAATATGCATTGTTTAATTTATATTTTTGTTGTTATTACTAATATTACTTCTATTATTTTTCTATGAAGATGAGTTTTGTGAGTTTGAAAATCATCAAAATCACGCAAAAAGCGATTCGAAATGAAAATTTTAATAACGTATTTTGAAGGGATTTGTATTCAAAATCAAAAACAACAAAAAATAAATTAAATCGTGATTTTAAATCATTTCAAATGAAATCTCACCCAACACCGATTTTTACTATAAAATTTTCAAACAGATTGTTTAATTTATGACTCTGAGAATTTTAATTAAATTTAATAAAATTGAAATGCACATTGCACAGCATATAATTAATTAATTAATTAATTCTTTTTATTGATAGCACATGCAAGCACAAATACATCATTCTGATGAGTCTAAAGTTTAGAAAATGTTTGAAGAAATATTTCATCGTAACACATTAACATATTAATTCAGTGTGCAAAGGTAGCTAGCTCTAACCACTTAGTATAAAGTAGCAGTTACATTGGCAGTTTTATGCCATCACGATAACTTTTGTTTAAAGAGCTCGGTAAAAAATCATTTTGCATTTATTAGAAATATTGAATTTTTCAAACGTTGAAATGTTTCTCAACATACAATGTAAACATTCCGCACAATATCGAAAGCAGTGTTTTTCAACGTGGTGCAGAGTTTCATTCTTGAAGAAGGCAATGAGGTGAACGTGGTAATAATTGGCAAAAACAGTGGAAAAAAGATAAAAAGCATTGTATGAAATAAAAGGTTAATAGACGATTAAGCTTTTTTGGAGTGTGCGCATTGACCTTGCTTTAACGGGTTTGTAAAGTGCGGCCAAAATGTTTGGGAAGTACACTGCTCTCTATGGCATAACTTGCTGACTTATAAATAAATTCCACGCTGAGGAGGACTATCTCTATATATTATGTATTGGATTGAGACTGCCAGAAATGCAATTATTGATGAAAATCACAGCAGAAACACAAAACTCAAATTACTAGTTAAAGTTAAATTGGATGTTAACTAACGACGCCGAACATGCTGTGATTGTACACACACACACACACACACACACACACACACACACACACACACACACACACACACACACACACACACACACACACACACACACACACACACACACACACAACACACACACACACAACACACACACACACATACACACACACACATACACACACACACACACATATATATATATATAAGAATTGTTAAAAATACTTGAAACATTGTTAAATAGTTTTTTCAATAATCAAGGAACTTTTGAAGAATGTCGTTGAGACCACAGATTGCATTGGCAACGTTAACTTTGATTGCGTTGGTTTTAGGTTAGCAGCGTAACAAACGTCTATCATAAATTTAACTCCTAGACGCATCTATTGATCGTCTTAATTTGACTTGAAACATTTTAAATACTCATCAGCATCCGAAAAGTACACTAATTCTGAAGCGAGAAAGATTCTGAAAGACAATGGTGGTTGTTTTATGGCAAATTATTTTTACTCTACTGATTTTACGCAAATGTGAATTAGTATTTAATCAATGATTTAGACATTTCGGTTAATAAGCCGGCACCGGTCACTTCTTTGGAAGGCATCAGAAAGAAGACAATTAATCAACTTTTGACATTGAAGAGAGCTTCAGGATGCGAAATTGTTGTCACAGGTTGTTTTTTCATTTTCAATTTGCCAAACAACTTTTGTTTTGTAATACAACGTTCAGATACAATCATTTTATTTATTTACTGTCAAACTTCCAAGGTGGAACAGAATCCGGACACGGGCACAGCACCAGGGGCGCCAAAAGCCATGCAAACGGATACAAAGTGGATTTAAGGATAAACACCTGCATATCTAATTACATCAAGAGCAATTTTGCTCATATTGGTGGGTTTAAAAAACTTCATCCAACGTTTCAATTTATGTAATTCAGTTTTTCATTTCAGAGTTATGCAGCAGTAAAATGATTGATGTTCTATGGAAAAAAGGTTGTTAAAATGATATTAGTGAAATTTATTCCAGGCCAGCGTGGGGGTGACCAGGCCGACATGTACAAAAGCAGCGCAGGCAACATTTACGCACTGGAAAGTGACCACTGGGATGTCCTGTACGTGTAGATGCCCGCCAATATGTGGATCGCAACTGAATAACACGTGACGTTTGACTCTCATTTTTAGTTATTTCAACACGTTGAGTTATTAAATTTTAATAACAAGACATTAACTAAAGGAATTGGATTTCGTTTTTATTTTGTTTTAATTATTAAAAAACAATTTATCATTAAAATAAATGAAATGTTATAGCAACAGACCCGAACAGTTTACAAACGTTTGTGAGCGTGTTGTTTACCGTTTAATCATTCAAATTCAAAGTATCCAAGCTTTCAAACCTTGTGTATGATACTTACACGTTTGAGCTGTTTTTCATTTCATTCTGTTAAAAATTCTTATCTGATTTCTATTTTTTATTCAAGAAAGATTTTAGACAATGTTAATGATATAATATTAATGTTAAATTTGTTAGATAGGCGAAAGAGGCCACCCTACAACTTGAAATCCGCAATCACGTTTAAAACTAACAACAGTGGGTCGGTCGGCAGTTGTACGGAGTCAAAAGCAATAAAAAGTTATAAGAAGAAAAATTGAGCAATCTTTTCGTTGTCCTAACTTATGTAAATATTTTGTTTAAAATCAAAGCTAATAAAAATAAATATAAAAATTTGAATTCGATCAAAATATTTTGCTATGCAAATCATGTTAGCAATGCACAGGATTTCTCAGTTAAATATTACTTGCTAGTGCGGAGCGTGGTTTCCGTACAATACCGTTGAGCCTAAATTTTTGGTGGGTACTATATTAAGAAAAACCCGAAATAACAAACAAAAATACGGCATGGCATGTTTAAAGTTTTAAAACATCAAAACTGCAGTCAATCACTCATTAATTGTTTACATCATTTTCATTACATCAGCACCAGTGAAGTTTCAAAGTTTAAAGTTGAAATATTTTTTTTACTGAATATATAGCGTTCAACGTCCAAGACTGATTTTGCAGCAACATTTATAATTTAAAACTCTACCCTGGAGTCCATTAGTCCCATTAAATGACATAACTTTATTTTCACGGAACATTTTAATTGTAACGAACTCTTAGTACTTATTTATCTCGAATTTCGCTTATTTTTTCTGCGATTGTGAAAACGGATGTGTGAATGTCAAACTTTGTCACATCTTTACAAAAAATTGCTGATGTTTCGTGAAGCTTCAGTCTAATCGTGTCTCTTCAAGCAACAGTCTTTTTGGAGCTTTCATTTCCGTCGCCAGTTCGTCTATCTGGAAGCTATATGCCGCCAGACAGAGCCACCATTTGATTTCTGACTCTACTAAATTCAATTTCATTTCACTATTGATGATAATTATGATTTAATAAAATTAAATTTTATTGCGACAACGATGATGATTATTATTTTAACAAAGCATCCAAAAACTTCTCATGTTGTATATCTCTTCTTCTTTATTTCACTATGACAAGCACAATATAATGATTTTGTGATTCAAACCATTTAAATTGATTTTCTTTGAATAAAATTCAATTCAAGTTGAAGTTTTCATCATAAATTGAAGTGTAAAACGCGCTTGTGTTGCCTCGAACAACCAAAGAAGACGTCGTGATATGCAGACGTGTGAACGCGAATTTGGTTAGGGCCATCCATGACATCCGTAGTTTTACTATTTTGGAGTCCATGGGCCACCTCACCGCTGAAATGTACCATCAAAATTATTGAACTTATATGTGATTTTTTTTTGTTCGTTTAGTGTTTTCTTTGTTATTTTGCTTCTAAGATAAAGTATAGAACTTGTACTTGAGGTGTAAGTGCTTGTATGTACTTGCACTTGGAAAGAATCAAATTTTTAGTACTTTTTTCTGCAGCCTTAATGATCTGAAAAATTTTATTATGTTTATAGAAAAAAATTACCAATCTTTTAGAAAATATCTTTCCATAATCTTTGAAAATACAGAAATGAGTTAAATCGGTTTGTAATTATTCATTTCTGTAATAACCATTTCACAGCCAAACACGCCAAGAGGAGAGCAGGCAAAATGTTGAACGATAGTATTAAATGCAACTTAAGAAAATTATTGAAATACATGTCAAAAAGTTATTTCGAAACCGGTTTCATGTTTGGAAACAAATGAAAGTTATAACCTTTATCATCAGTAGTGACAAGACAATAGTAATCTTACTCTTCTTCTTGCTCTTGACTTTTCCTCTGCTTTTGATACAGTTGATCATACAACACTCTTGAGGCTGCTAGATTTTTTATTTAATATTACTGATTCTTGTCTATCTTGGTTTTGTTCTTATCTCTGTAATCGTTTTTTTTTCTGTTGTTCTCAATAATTTTACTTCTAATTCTTCTACTCTTACTTTCGGTGTACCTCAGGGTTCTATTCTTAGCCATCTTCTATTTATACTCTATACTTCTGGACTACCTCGTATTATTAATAATTTTTTTTTACTAGTCAACTATATGCTGATGATTCTTATATTTATACTTATTTTCCGGATCTCAAGACCATCTGTTTGCAAAATTCATTTAGGAGCGCTGTTGAACATCTCGGAAATAGCGCTTTATAAACTAATTGATTGATTGACTGATTGATCAGAATGACCTGGTTTCCTATCAACATTAACTCGGTCATCTGAATATGATCAACTAACAACATTAATGAGCAAAACGTTAACGTTAATCAAAGATTAATGCTTACTTTACGTTACAAACTACATAATCAACGTGTTTTGAAGACAGTTGGTCCAAATTAATTAAAAATATTTTTGAAGTAGTCAAAAAATGTTTACCTTTGTAATTTTGTTAAATTAATAAAAATAAGGCTAAAGTTTGTATAGGATTTTTAAAAATTTTGGAATACAATGACTTGAAATAAAGGTATTAGATAGGCGGAGGTTGCAGGCACTTTATCACTAACCTGGTCATCCTGCTTTCTTATTAATTTTTAATCTTAAGGGCAAGCAAAGTTTCATTTGATTTCACAGTATTTCAATGGCATTTATCGGCGGTTGAACTTTGATCAATTAAATGATTGTTGAACAAATAATGTTTTGCTCGATTAGTTGTTAGCTGATCATCCAAAACCAAAAATTTTGCTGTTGAGGTGTTTTTAATTTAAATTTATGTTCAATTTAAAATTTTTCATAAGTAAACTAATTTTTTAAAAATAGTCAAAATTAAATGTGTATAAATAAAACATTATCATTGAAATTTAAATATTTTTCAACTTTTTTTTTAATGTAAATGTTAATTCTTATCAACATGTTTTTCAATATTCACTTTTCTAATTCACTTTTGTGGTCCGTGCAGTCTGCGATCTGCTAATTACTCTATTATTATTATTATTATTATTATTATTGTTATTATTATTATTATGATAATGACTATAATGACTATAATGATGGTTGTCGGTAGTAGCAGACACTTTTTAACGTGTTGAAAATTTTGCTGTTAAAAGTTAATTCATTTATCAAATAAATAACAAATATAAATTATTTAATAAATAAAATTATAATTTTTATTATTGAAAATAATCCTTAAGCGGTGGTTAATATTTAAGATAGTATTAAAAATTTTGGTAAATATACATTGTATCTATCGTTTATGTTTTTCGGAGTTAATTGGATTTTTTTGCTTTGTTCCCCCATTAAATTCGTTATAAAATATTTTAACATACGATAATGAAAGTGAAAGTGTTTTGTCATGTAGATATGTTAACACAATTTATTAATACAATACACTATATTCTTTATTGTGAGTATTTTTTAAATGTTTGTGCATTACTTTATTTCCAAGTTTAGTTAGTAGAAGAAAAAATACAATTGGTTTCATAATATTTTTTAGTTCAAATACGTTTATTATAAAAGACGAATATAATGGTTATGATAGCAACTGATCAAAGCATCGGTTTTCTTATTCCATTGAGATCTTATAAGAGCCAGCTGTCTATCAGATGCAAATGAGCCGTCGGAATGCCTTACTTCACTCAGACATCATTTGACAGGCAATTATTCTTTCTACATACCTCCTTCTTAAATAATATTAACTTGGAAAGACAAAATCCTACGTTGTCACATTTCGACACGTTCTTATGCAAGCAATCAAATATGAAATACTTTATTATTTACGCAAATTAACAGCCACAGAAAATCTGTGTTTAAACACTAAACACAAATTATGTGAAATTATACATTAAAAAGCAATTATGAACATCGAGTTAGCGCAGTCGATAGAAGTTCCGTGCCTCGCTTTGCTATTACGCAATGGCATGGTTCGAATACTGCCTGTCCGAAACTCAAAAACCATCATGCGTGTATGATGCGCTGCTTGCGCGGGTATAGGTGCGTCGTGTGGTGTGGGGTGTGGATAGCACAGCTTTCATGACACGATGGTTTAACTATAGGTATAGAATGGCATATAGAATAATAATTAAGCAGCTCTGCGTTTGGCAGAGCTAAATTATTAAAAATGAAATTTTTTAAAAATTTTGTTTAAGACTGTAGATGAAATATCTGATGTCGGCGGCACGTCCTTCAAACAAACCATTGGCGGCAATGGAATTTTTTTTAATTTAATCAAACAAACTCTTTGTGAGCTTTATTGATAATGTATCATTTAGTTTTTAATTATTCTAAGACATCAAACATCAGACTAGGATGGCTTAACGTTTATGAACTCTGACACAGGAATGTTATGAAGCATTAAACTCTCGATTTTTATCGACACAGGTGGATTTGGAAAAAATCCAGCTTCTTGCATAAGTATAATATTTTTCTACTTTCTTATACACAACAAATTTTAAAATGTTCAATTAAAATATCTACTAACTCAAATTGGCAATTTTGTCAAACTCTAGATAATTATTCCATAAAGAACGATTTTTCAGCCCTCTTCTATTTCGGAAATAACATATAAAATTATATATATATATATATTATATATATATATATTACAATATTCTATAAATTCTACCGAATGTTTGTAAAAAACAAACTACAAACATATTAACGCCAAACATTCGGTAGAATTTATAGAATATTGTAAAAATTAAAATTATGGTTTATTACCAACATATATATATATATATATATATATATATATATATATATATATATATATATATATATATATATATATATATAGTTGGTACCGTATTCTTGACCTTTGTTGTTGTCACATACATGCATATCATTTACTTGTTTTCTTATTTATCTTGAATTTTTTTTATTATAAAACAATGTGGACCGTAAACTGCAGTTGAGTGACGAACGTATGATACGAAGCCCCGTGTTTTCAGAGCCATGTAACAAACAAACAAACAACGAACAGCAAATATAAAAATAACACATCTCTGACGAACGTTATTTGTAATTTCTGCATTATGCAGAACTAACTGTATGATTGTATGAATCTGATCACTCCAATATTTATGTATTATCCGATATGAATACAAGTTTTCCAATATAAATATAAATGCATGCATTTGTTATAAATTCATGCATCTATTGTAAATCCATGCATCCAATATGAATAAATGATACAAAAATAAATATAAATACATGCACCGAATATAAATGCATATGTCATCGATTGATTGAATTTCGCAAATATTTACTTAATACCAGCAATGCTAGGTTGTTTACGTGTTTTGAGATAATTGTCAGTTGCTTGCTTCACATATAAAACTAAATAATTATACATTTACATTCATCAAATGATTTGGCAGGATGCTATTGTAATGTTGCTAATATAAAATGTAATAGTTCAGAAAATGTTGCAACAAATTTTTATCACTCAAAATTCATAATCAGTTGCCAAAAAATCTGAAGAGGAAGACTCTGTTCTGGACTGAAGCTTTCCTCGCTCTGTGTATCATCTCCACCTTCTCCCTCTTGCAGCAGCACAAATAAATGCACGCCGTCTGGTACAGAATTTTACGGAATCGCCGATTGAGAAATACGTAGATGAAAAAATTAACCGACGAATTGCACATGACCAGCGCATTGCTCACGGGACTGAAGTAGAATTGGAAGCCGCCGCACGTTCTCACGTCATCATCAACGACCGTCCACAAAATCTGAGTGACAAACGCCGGAAGTTGACAGACGGTGAAGACGATGACGACGACGATGAGGACGAGGGTGATGCTGTCGTCGTTGCGTTGTTTCAAGCTCTGCATTTTTTTTCGCTTTCGCTTGACGTCCTTGAATGCGACCATGAGTCTGATGTTGAGGAAGGTGAGGACTGAGAGTGGCAGAATGAAGATGAGTGCCGTGTACATGATGTTGTGGTACACCAGCTCGTAGTACTTTGTGCAAAATTACATTCCATTAAATATCAAATGTAATTTAAATAGAAAATTGAATATACGATAGAAATTGGTATTATTTCTACAAAGTTTGCAGCACCGTTGTCATTCGCTCAGCACACACACAATCAGAAACGCAAACACACAAACAAACACACACAAACACACATTTATATACATATAATATATGCAATTATTGAAAAAATCACAACATGTTCGGCATTTTATGCATAAAATAAACAAAAATTTTAGTTTTGTACTCAAGAAACTTGAAAATTATTTACGATCAACCGTTAGAAAAATCGAAAAGTTAAACAGGAAGTTAACTAACGCCGAACATGCTGTGACTTTCATCAGTAATTGCATTTCTTGCAGTTTTAATCGAATATATAATATAAGTATATATAATGACTAATATTACAAAACTTACAAAATTATCACTGATGCGAGTGCGTGTGAGACAGAACCTCTGAGGCAAAAGTTCAAGATTTCCCTCCACAAACTTCGGCAACGTATAAATGAGAGCCAGCAACAAAACGATTGCGAAATAAATTCTTGCTCTCTTCACAGTGCAGATCTTCAGAGCTTGGTAGGGCATGCAGACTGCTATGTACCTGTTGACAGCCAGCAGAACAGTCAGCCAGACCGTCAGTGCTTGAAAAGCGAAAGCGAAAGGATATATGATGATCATGAAGACCGGATACATATACCTGTTATAAGAGTCTCTGAACAAACCTGTAAATTGCACAAAACCTTGAATTGAATAAATTGAAAAAACGCAAGTGATCATCAAAGTGTCGACGATGGCAAGAGCTTGCAGAAGAAAGAGGAAACTTGTCTTCAACTTGTCGTTGTAAAAGACGATGAATGAGACGATGTTGCCTATAAAGCCGACGATGCACATGAAGCCAATGAAGACAGTGTAGACTGAAAAGGTGTACAACTCGCACTTCCACTCTCGTGAGGTGCTGTTCGATTCGTAGCCGCCCATCGTGGCGCATTCTGATGAGTTGAAAGGCTGCGTTGATGATGACCAGGATTTTTGAAACGTGCTGTTGTCACTGTTCATGTTTACGATTGGTGATTCATGGTTCGGGAAGTTGCATCTTACTGTTTGTTGCACCAGGAATCTGGCAATGTTATTATCAACTTTATGTCCAGTTATATTAAATATAACTTTCTTTAATATGTTTTATGAAAGTGAATACAATTTTAAAAAGCTAACAAAAACATATCCTCCGAATTTTAGTTTATGAGCGTCCTAGTTCTTCATCATCATCGTCGTTACAATCATTCTTAATCATCATTAACCCTTAGCTTGTAATTTTTATTATTTGACCGCGCATTAATAATAATTATATGATATTTGACTGTTATGAAGTTTAGTCCATTGAAATGAGTCCCAGCATGAAATACAAAATTTTTCAGATTGCTAATCTCAGCCATTAAAGTCACACATGGTTGGTAAGTTTAATACCTGACTTCCCCCCAGTTTTCAAAACCTTGAACAGTTCAATGAAAATTCATTGTTTGGCTCTTGACCGATTTATTCGGAATCATTCGATGATGTATAAACACGTTTGCGATAAATTTTTCAGACTCTTAACGGGGAATGGTGGTGAAAATTGAAATGTCGTTGACGTTATTTTGCTATTTACATTCATATAGTTATGGAGATGTGTTGAGAATGAAAGAAAAATTTTGTCGAGAAGAACTGATTTGGCGTTGCACGTTACAAATTTATCAAAAACTGAATAAAGTTTTATGTTAAATTTTAATAATGAAAAATTCGAACCGTTGACTATTTCATTTATAAATAAACTTTTTGAATAAATTTATAATAGGCTTGCCAACATAATTAATAAGGCACCGTTAAATGGACTTTCTTTTGTCCATGATTTATTTTTTACACGACATTTCTGTGGAGTTTTTGCACTCAAAGCAAGTAATCATAAATGTTGCGACACTCGGCTAACGCAAGGAAGACACGCGATGGAGACGAACGAACAACATGCTTACAACGCACGAACAGCTTATAAACAACAAACGAACAATATTTAAACAACTCATGAACTACATACGAACAACTCGTGAACAGCAAATTCGGAATATAATTCAAAATACGATCGACAGGTACTGGTTAATTTTTTGCTAATGACAACCTTTTTTTTTCTCGCTCTTCAAGCTTTCAAATTGAAATCAAATGACAAAAAAAGTTGAATTAAACGAAAGTGCTTTGGAACGCTGTTTGTCTTGTCTTGGAACTGGTAATTGTGCATCGCTATTAATTTTCAAAATAGAACATTCTTTGTAATGTGAATGTTGTCGATGCTTACAATTATTTTAACTACATTAAATCACATTCTGAGTGTAAATGATGACATTACTTTTCTAACAGTCTAGTTTTTCCTTCTTCATATATGCTTGCTTTCTGCGCCATCTTGCCATGCGAGGCACTTCTCTACGAAGTTAAACAACTTCTGATCCAACTAGCGAGCTAATTACACTTGCTATCCGATGGATTGTTAACAGACTTAATTAAACTAGTTAAGTATTTAATTAACTAATTAATTAAATGAATTAATTAAATAATACATGCTCTGGCGAATAATTAATTGCCGCGTCGTCACGCAACGACCACACAATATAGTTGGAGGTGTGATGTTTTAATTCTTTACTATGTACGACTGATGTCTGAAAGTTTGAGGTGTTTTTATTTAATTATTTTTTAATTAAATAATTAACAAATTAACAAGTAAAAAATTTAAATAACCACAATAAATTTTAATAACAAGTAAAATTTTATTAGAAAAAAAGTTTAATAGTTTTAAAAAAAAATTTTCAAAGTTTTATAATTTAAAAAAAATATTATTACATTCTGAAACAGTTAGGGGAAAGTAACGTACGATGTACACGTAAAGTACACAGGTTGGACGCTGGTTCTATTGAGACGTGTGTATGGCGAAAGAATAATTTTGTTTTGGCAGATTTCACATTCCTCAGATAGATGGCTTTCTTTGGGCTTTCTTTCTGACAATCAAATTCATGATGTCAAACAGAGCCATCGCCGTTCTTCAACAAGAATAAAATGATGGAATGTTTTCAATACTATTGTATTGATTATTGATACACTCTTGATAAGTTTTTATTTATTTTGTTAATATTATATTAACTTTTTCATTTTGTTAAGTACATCACAATATTTGTGCCAGTGTTTATTTAATACTTTCAAAATTTTGTTAAATAAATTTATAGCATTTGCTCATGTTGTATGTTTGTTACATATATAACCAATACTTTTTTTAGATTTTCTAATAAAATTTCAATAATTTCTAAATCTACATTACTAAAAATTTTGTGTTAATTAAAATTAATTGCCAATTTTTATGTTAACCGCGCGGAACTTTAAAATGTTTGAAATGATTAGCCGGCGTTGAATAGAGAGTGCTGGAGCATTTCATCATGGAAATTCATTCAATATTTCATGGCCACCAGGACACAAAAGCTCACTCGTGAATCACAAATATTTTTATGACTGACACATATTGTTTGCGTCGGCACCGGCTGAATGCTAACAAACTTTATTACACGGTACTTCATTCGGTTAGATCCTTATGAGCAGTTTGAAAATTGCAAGGTACGATAAATTTTCATCAATTCAAATCAATTGCAATTGGTTTAGTTAAGTAGCGCATATCAATTGTGAGCAGTATTTCTATGAAAATTCAGTTAAACTCGGTTTGCACGCAAAAGAAACACCGTTTTAAGAGGACGGACAAACAATCAAAAATTAGCGTGACAAGCAAAATAAACGGTCGCCAGCTCATTTTTGGCCACACTAAGCACAAATTTGGTTAATTTCTTGGAACCTTTCATCAACTTTCAAAATGTACACACTACACATATTTAAAATACCTCCTAGTTCAGAGTTTTTTTGGTCCGCTCCTAAATTACTGATAACAATTAAAACTTTACATATATTTAAAAATGGTTCATTGTAAAGTTGCCGTTAATTAAAATTTAATAACAGTGAAAACAAACATTAAAAATTTTAAATTCAACACATTTTTATTTAAAAAAATGTTTTTACGGCAAGTTTGGTAATGAAAATGTTCATAATTTTCTACCATTCGCATCTAAAATTTCATTTCCCTTTTCACTTACCATGTAGTTTACGTGAATTTTTTTTTTATTCCTCTACTATTTCCGAAAAAGAATTCCAGTTTTTCTCGCTGAATTTCTGATTCCTGAATGAGATTTTTACTTTCTTCCTTTTCAGTCGCACTTGTTTAAATAAATTTTTTGTGAGTGGCGTGAAAATTAAAGCAACGAAAAATATGGAAAGCAAGAGATATAATTTTTTATTTAACTTAATGCAGAATATAAAAAAGCACCGCAAGACTGAAAATATATCTAACTTGCCGGCAGGCATAAAATTTGGAATACTTTTTCTCTATTTTAATAAGATTGAAAACGCATTTGCTATTTTTTGATCATCAGAATGACTTCGCAACTGATTTCGGAAGCCATGCTTTACAAAAAAAGGCTGAGAAGCATAAACGTGAAAGAAATATATATTATTTGTTTTCGCAGATATAGACAAAATTAATGAGCAATTTAAAAATTAAAAAATTTTCCAAATCCGCAAAGAATTCTCAAACCATCTCTAATTGGCTTATTCCAGCCTCAATACAGCATTGTCATACTCCAACCAACTCCATCTCACATTGCCATTATAAACACGTTCTGTAATGCGCACATGCACATCAGACGAGAGTTTAATGTTACAAATTTGAATACAACATTCATTTAATAGCAGAAAAATTATATCCAGAAATGGGTTTGACCTTTCAACATTGAATATTTTACAATGTTATTTCTGAACATGTATGATGTTCATTTTAGTGTTGGCTGTTCAAAATGGTAATGTCTATGCACACACACACACACACACACACACACACACACACACACACACACACACACACACACACACACACACACACACACACCACACACACACACAAATATATATATATATATATAATATATATATACTCATATACTTGGATAATTCTATTTTGAACGATTACCAAAAAATTCTAATAAGGGAAGTTGAAAAAACAAATTTTAAATTGATTAATGCCAACAATTTGGTAGAATTTATACAATACTCATATATATATATAAATATATATATACATATATATATAAATATATATATATAAATATATATATATATGTAAATATATATATATAAATATATATATATATATAAAACAATTAATATTTATATGTATGTATTTTCATTTGCCAGTTGGAGAACAAAATTTGGAGTGATCAAAGTTTAATCTTCACTATTTTAATTTAATTTTTAATAGGCAAGACATAAAAAACGAAAAACGAACTACACTAAAATATAAACAATTAATAAGATGATCAAAGTTTTATTATAATAAAAACCTACCTTTTTCAATTTCTATTTTATGTAGAATGATAATAAAATCAATTTTTCTGGTTTTTAATTTTTAAAAGTTTTTTTTGAACCAATTCAGCCCAACCAACTTTCACTTTATTCTCAACCGATTACCCGTTTTTTTATACAATGCTCCAAACGATTTATCACTTGTCAAATATTTACTAGGCCATTAAAATTGTAACTTCTTTCCCATTGTTTTAGGTCTAGTTTATTTATTTTTCAATTAATTTATTTTTCGATATTTTCTTAATTTCAAATAAAAAATTAATTCTACTAAAAAACAACACTGACTCTGAAAGGTGCTTCCTCGGGCCAATTTCGCTAACGTTGAAATCCGGGCTCCATGATTTCTCACTTTTGATGTGAGTATAAAAGAACGCGGGCTTGCGCAGATAAAAGTTTAATATCACTGCATGGCAGTATTGTTATTCAATGGATTTATTTGTTCCATTTGTATGTGCCTCGTTTTCAAGTTCATTTGTGAGTCTGTGCATTTGTTTGAGTCGCTGCTG